AGGCTCTTCGCGTCCACCAAAAGCGATTGGATGAGGGCTGCAGACCCGTGGTAGTGTGCAGGACGCGCATTCTCTGTGGCAGGATACTGTAACAAGTATAATCGTAACCTGTCATTTGGCCCCAATTTCCAAGGATCCTTGAAGCTCGCGTCCAGCGAATTACCAAGCCATCCTTTGCCGCTTCTTAAAGGTTGCCATCCCCCAGGCTGTGATAAGTTACCACCACATTTCTTTCCTTTTTTTACTGTTCTGCTGATCAGCCGCTTGCATCCATTCGAAGTCACATCACATTCCGATATGCCTAGCTCTGCTGGAAAGGCTTACTATCCGTAAGTTGCTGAGTAAAATGATGTTGAAAAGCTAACAGGTCCTGGCAGTCAGCCGTTCGATAAAATTCGCTCGAGCCTGAATACTATCGGAGTATTTGCTGTGCGGGAAGGCATTGACGACTCTCCGACAAAGGACATATTGGATGCTGTTGAACGATTCATATCCAACGAGCAAGATGACTCTAAGCAATGTTTCGAAGAATTACTGCCCCCAATCTCCCGTCTTTACACCCAATCTTATCAACAACATATTTCAGATGTTTTGTCCAAGACAGCAGATGAACAACCCTCACCCCTTATCTCCTGTACCCGTCCAATGACCTATGAGAAATACACTTCTCGTTTCAGGACTAATGTTGCCTTTCCGCGCGAGATCTCATCAGTCAATCAGCGCGCAGAGGATGATCTTGACAAGCAAAAGAATGAGGATCTCGATCGCCCAAATACTAGTGTCTGCACGTCTTCTGGCAACGGTCTTCACTCCGACGCTAGCACCGAGCCTTCCTTAGTCAACGGATGCGATGGGATATTCTGCGATCATTGTCGGCGATGGCATATTTTTGACCACAATTACCATATGTACCTGGAGACTTTTACAGTCTATGAGAGCATTCAGTCTATACCTCTGGAACGCGAGCTCAAGCTCGATATCTTACGGTACGCCCTCCCATCCTGTGTAATCCTTTCTTTATCCTGACAAACACACAAGACTAGTACAAAACAACATCGCTCTGCACCCTTCCTTCAGATTTCAGAACGACATACTCATGCTACCGCCTGCACCAACCGTGACACCACCTCAAATGATGCCTACACCAGCCAAGTCAACAATTGAAAAATTGAAGGATGCTCAAAACAGTTTTGTGGAAATAGCCGCTGTCTCGTCCAATCTCGAAGTCTACTTGAAATTCATGGCATCCGCCGAGTGCCACCCAACTTTTGGATCCGCACTTATGCCGCTTGTGACACCGCATATGTTGAGGAATATTACCCAGAAGGGACCTCTGTTCGGTGGTGAAGAATATGAATAACATTCCTGATGGTTGAGACTTGGGTTGACAATAGGACAGGCTCAGTGGGAGTGAGGCCCGATATATGTGACTGCAATCTGATATCTGCGTGGAGTTGCGAGGTGTTCTCTAGGACGCACATACAATTAACAAGGGTAACATTCGTTCGCAAATCATCAAGGGCTATCGTTGTCTCCTCGACCAGAGGATCGTGTTACTTGATTGCCAGGCAGGCCATAATAGAATCAACCTGATGCAAAGCGTTGATTCCCGCTAGCTGAATGAAGATGAAGCCCGGACTAACGAAAATTACCCTAGTCGAGGGCATGTGCTTGTACACCAACTGGTCAAGGCCCATCACGCACGCTTTATTGCCAAATCCTTCAACGCAGAGCTCCCTGATGGCGTCATGTATGAGGACAGCGACCCATCCCGAGCGGATTCTTGATCCTCCACTCAAGCTGGGTCAGATCCTTCCCCTTGATCGTGACCATGCAGCCCTTCTTGATCGTCTTGTCAAACCACTCCCGGTGCTCGAGCATGTCCATACACGGCGGGATGTAATTCTCCTGTGCGCCGTTGATGGGCTACCAGACCATGTGCGCGACGAGGGACGAGTACATCGCCTCAAACCAGTAGAACAGCCAACCTCTCGGCTCGGTCAGGGATGTGATGTGCCCGAGCGTGTGAGTGCTCGTGTTCGGCCAAGTCCTCGTCGTCTAACGGGATATCTGTGAGTATGGGTAGTTAAACCGAGATCGTGCGCATATTCTTCCACTTCGGCTACATCTACCTGAACATCAACAAGCCCGTGTTCATGATCGTGCCCTTGACCACGGCGAAGTGAGGCTCTAATGAAGATCCCCCGAGAGATCCTTTCCCACTGAAACGGATTGAAGTTGATCTCTGGGAAGAGATTGTGGTGTAAGGTAGAGTGGTTTTTTGGGAGAAACGGCTACAATCTGTGGGAAAAATCAGTCAGTATCGCAAGAAATGCCACATACCAAATTTCGAGGCGAACTCATACCCTAGATGCCATATTTCTGTCTCCTGGATGCCGTGGAGAGCCGCCTATGAATCGTTTCCTTCAAAGGCTGAAATCTAATTTACGCCGCCGCTCGGCTTACCTTCTATGAAGAGGCTTTCCGGGGAATCGAAAGGGCTTCCACGTAATTCCACGGAACACTTATTTTTAGCTATGAGGGTAATTTTACAGCCGATAACATTGTGCCAATACTTGGTTCGTATGGCGTCATATCTTAGAGCTCTTTAAAGTACCTCTTCGGGTGTTCAGAACACAAAGATATACAAGTACTCGCCAGAGGCCCTCTGCAACACGAGGTAGCAGCACAGACCACGAACAACGACAGATAACGTTATTTCTCGTTATCAATTACCGTGAATTGTCTTGACAGACTAGGTTAATTCACTTTTCGCTGATTTGTGGCGACGACCTGCATCGGACCCGGGAGCGCACCACTTACCCCCCGACTATAATCACGTGCTTAAAAATTATGGTTAACTACCTCTTTGACAAGACTGGTAAATACTATCAAAATGCAAGCTAATACGGCATTACCTGTAGAATCCCTCTTACGCTCGGACGTCCGCCCCGGCCTCCAGTAGTATCTTCACCACTGCCTCGTGGGCCCTAAATGATACCGCCTACAGCGCAGTACCGAAGCCTCCCTCTTGCGTCTTGACGTCCGCCCCGGCCTCTAGCAGTATCTTCACCACCGCCTCGTGGCCTTTAGCCGATGCCGCCTGTAGCGCAGTGCCGCACTCTCCCCGTTGCGTATTGACATCGATATTTCGTCCCAATATCTTCTCAACAACTATAGGAATGCCTATGTGTGCCGCATAATATAGAGGTTGAGCCACGTCATGTGTTTTTACCGATGTGTCTAACCCTCGGTATGGTCTATCCACATCGTAAAGCTGTACCCATAAAAGCAGGGAGGTATTCTCTTCTGTTAAGAACCGTAATGTAAGTTCCAGTGATGTCTTGTCAATCATGCCGCCGATGGTCTGTAAGTGCTGCAACCACCTCTCCGCCGCGTATAACGACAGGGGATACTGCCTGACGAGCTCTTCGGTCAAGGATCCATCCTGACAAAGATGGAGCAAGTAGCGCAGGCAGCTTTCTACAATAATGGAGTGGCAAACTTGTGACCGAAAACTCTGCCTAAACAAACAGCGGTCAGACAGGAGAAATTCTTTGACAGAAAAATGTGCCAACCGAATCTGTATCTGGTCGGCGTCTTTGCCACTCTCATGGACTAAGACAGCGTTGTCTTCGTCCCTACCTTCTCCAAAAGCTGCGTTGCTATCAATGGAATTGAAAACGATTAGGGTAGAACAGACAGTCATGATGTCCATCGGATCAGGAAGCCGTTCTTCGGGATCAAATCCCCCTTGGTCTCCAGGTTCAATGGCGAGAATCTCGACCATTTCTGTTAATTGAAGAGGACGATTCGAGAGACAAAGCCATTGTAAGGCTTTGACAGCGTTCTGCAGCTGCTCAGCCGATTCGAGATTATGTAATATTCGATTATATGTCTCGTCAAGCGTCTTTGGTAGGGACAACAGCGCCTTTCTCAGCGCCTTCAACTGAATACATTGGCGAATGGACTCGAGTTGACAAAATACCCATCGAAACCTATTCCACCGTTAGCACGCTGTGCACAATAGAACAGAATCCTATCCCTACATGCCACCGACCTTCTCCATTAACGCTGTCATAATTTCATTCTGCACCGACACTGGCCACTTCTTCAGCTTGGTGTCGGTGGCCAACCAATCGCGAATGTAGATACGTATGTCCTCGTCCACAATGGCACTTTGAATGTTGATCTTGTGATCCGCAACCGGACTTAATTCGTCTTCAATGTCTTTCTCCCGGCGACTCGTAGCCATAATATGCAGGTCTCGTAGTTTGGATGCTACCAGATCTCGAATAAAAGCTAATAGTCCTTCACGGTCCGTACATTCATCTAGAGCATCTAGAATGATGTATTTCAGTCCCGGACGAACCATTACGTCTCTCAATAGTGAGTGGAGAGTGTCTTCTGCGGGCTGCTGTTGTCCGCTACTGCATAATATCCAGGCATCATAATGTGAGGTACCTCTCCTTGTTGCATGACGTCGGGCATTTCCGACGGCGTTTCAAAACGCCGGGATGGGGGTTATGGGATAAAACTCACACCCCGGACCATGGCTTAGCCGCTCTACCCCTATCGTGCAGACCTCCCGGCATTGGTAGTGATCTAATCCGATACCTGTAGCAGTTCTATCCCTCGCGCGGTCAAGGTAACGCTTGACCAGGGAGAAAAGGTCAATATTGATAGTTACTGGACAGATTCGAACGCAATAATCTATAGTTATCACGGTGTCACTAGTTATGATAAATCAAAGAGGACTGGTGATGTAAGGGAAACCACCTATCTGAGACGCCTTCTACTTACCCAGTTCTTTGCCACTATTTTCAACAGCGTGTCCCCCCTTGCGCTCTATGAGCGCTAAATATTCGATAGGATACCGTAGCTCAACGTCCTAGACATTCCACGTACAAACTTGACTTACACATCAGAAGAGAGGGGGGAAAGGAGGTCGCGATTGCCTGACTTGTCGCTGACAACAGTGCGAACTCTTTTCTCGATTGGTTCCTTTGAAGGTCCAGTATCCTCTCTAACTGGCCCCTCGGGAACCTGAATTGGCTTGCGGATCGCGAACAGCTCGGCAGCGTGAACCCGTCCAATCCCTTACTGGTAGATTGACGGTGCGTCCGTTACATCGGATAGGTATTACGACCACTACGCCCCAGCTTCGAGACCTCTCTCCGATGCGTCCGTGAAGGTGAGGTGTTCGGCGACTGTGTCTGACGCCCGCACCTTATCTTGTTCGACGGTGTTCCTATCCGTCACTAATACTCGATCGACCGTAGGGTCCTGGTCACTGACGGTTCGTCGGCGATAGCGATACTGTGATTTCCATCGCCTGAACGGATCTTAGCGCGCGGAGACACAGTGTTAGCTTCCTTGGAAATTGACTTAGCGGTCAGGTTGGTCGGTTCATAGCTTTGTTAAGTAGGGGCGTTGGAGGAACTATACACGGTCCAGTAGCCATACCTTGACCGCGTTGCTCAGGTCTGAGACGTGTAGGGACGACGCATTCCGGGTAGCCACTGATTGAAATACGGAGATGGGTTCGAAGCAGAGCCGCTCACTACACTATGCGAAAGTCTCATAGGTAGCACCCAGCTTTACGGGGCTGTGCCACGCGGTTGACGCATGATCCAGTCTACAAGTAGGCACAATGCACTCCCGGCATGCCTACTCATTTCCAGTGTCGCTTAGGGACTGGCTTTCTTCACAGCTGTCTTCTCAGTATGAGCCAATGGGGCGCAGGTATAGGCAACTAAACTACGAATCACAGGAGAGGTAGCCGGGTACGTGGCTTCTCTCGCACTACGAATCCCTAGACACCTTCTTTCACCTTACGGGTCGAGTGGCTTGCGATGGTTTTCGCAGGCTATGTGCGGACTGTGCAGTCCCACCCCTCCAGCATTTTAAGCTTTGATGATGCCTTGGGATCCCTACGGAAGTGCGGACGCGGAACCTGGCGGTCCGTGGGAGCCGGGCAGTTTATTGTTTGACTTGGCTGTTATTTGCCTCTGATCCCAGGCTACCGTAGGAAACTTACGCAATGGTCCGTCCACTGCCTCAGGAAACACCACTCAGTGTGCAAGGACATCAAATAGCTTAGGGAAGGGCGTAAGGACGGGGGGAGAAGTGTAATCTTTGGTGTGGTGACTATGCAGTGGCAGACAATTGCTAAGGCGGCTAAACGGCCTTGGCAACGCATAGTCCGGCCTTCTCCCTCGTCCAAGTCTACGGAGTACTCGTACTTTGATTGCCGGGCACCCCGGGTGTCGTTGCAAATTGATCGCCTAAAGTCTCGTCTCTGCTACCACTGACAGACTTCCGTGTAGATTGAGGAGCGCTCCGAGCGTGGTTTCTTTGAATGAGCCCACTCGCGCAAGGGTCCCTGCAACGAAGCCGTAGAGGGGACTGGAAGGGCCTCCTTTCTCTCGGTCGGGCACACGGAGCCTCTGCTACGGAGCACGGAGGATTCCAATACCAGAGGGTGTCATGCACCTCCGCTCCATGAATCTTTCCCGCACACGGACCCTGACGACCCTTAGTCTACTCATCCGGCGCTTCCTATTTCCTTCTGAACGATCCATCGCACTTCCATCCGGTAACGCCCGCATGACCCAGCTCTGCGTTGTCCCCATATTTCCTCGGGAACAAAGCCACAAATATAAAGTTTAGTGTTTAGTCACGAAATTCCGCTCCCCAGGAACTTTGGGCACTAATGCAAGAACTCGAACGGAAGGGCCTAGCAGTCACGGTCGCCTACCTGTGTCCCCGTACTGAGGCTCACCGCCATGATGGTCACCGCATATGCAACAGCCCTGACCCGCCCTTCGATATTCGGACATGTCAACGGCTTGGCAGTTTAGTACGATAGGGGGTTTGTACAGCCTATCGCCTGGCCGACCTTGAATCCGCCAAGGAGGGCTCGGAGAGTTGTGTGACGAGTCGCTCCAGTGGGCTAGATCTCTTCTATGCGTGACCCAGCATCGCAACAGGCGGGAAAGAGTTGACCAGGAGGCCATGAAGCTGAGGCGTTGGCAATACCCTGGTTCATCAACGCAGAGAATCGCTGGGGCGCCGAGCGGGTCCTTTTTTCAAAGTGAGGCGGCAAGCTGGTCACCACAACATCCCGGTGGATCGGGGGAGGGTATGTCGATGGGTCCTCATTGTACTCGCTACAACTAGGGCAAAGCCAAAACCGAGTAAGGAGGCGACATCAACCGTAGACAAACTGGTCTACTACCGTACACTGAAGACTATTCCATTGGAGAGCAAAAGGAAAAAAGTCGCATCACGCCGCTGGCAAGGCGGCAATGGGTGGATCTAAGAAACAACCATTTAAGGTCGCCACTCGTCCCGAGCTCTGCCAGCCCACTCATCCGTACAAGGCTAAGGAGCTTTCACCGCCCTTCCACAAAGGTCCGAGGCCGTTCCCCTCTATGGTAGAGCACCTTGTTGATACCGACAAAGTCCTGGGCCAACCAAAACTCGACACATGCTCTTCTAATGCCCGTTGGACGCGGAAAGCTAGGGGTGGTAAGGTGTGCATAGTGCCCTGTACCCTGCTAGGATGTACGGGCGAGCATGGCTTCTGATTTGGTCCATGCGGCCTGAGATTTTGTGTTTGCTGGTCTTTGCATCATTTGATGAGGTGGCATATTTTAACAAGCCTTCAGTAAGGAAGGCCACACAGGCTTAAGCACCTCCTTGAGAGCGATAACGGCGATGCCTAACCGGGGAAGCCATATATCTTTCCTTACATCTTGAAAAAAGACGTCAATTTTGAAATCCCGAGACTGTATTGTGGAATATCCGAAAGATGGACTCCGGTCCACATGACGAAGTCGAAGAGCGATCCCAAACATTCGAATTGGGGGACGTGCAAAAACTAGCGAGCGATTACCAGCTCAGTCGACGTGATCACGGCGAAATAGTCCAGGATTGGACCTGGAAACAAAATTATGCGCTCATCACCTTTGAGCTCCTAACCGGTGCTGCATTTAAATACATTCATTGGAAAACAAAGGGGGTTGTGAGCCACCCTATCCCGACGGATGACGATTGTATGTCTAACCCTGTCATAGGCCGTTAAAATGTCTGAGGCGATGTACTGTGTGCCTACCCCCGATACTCTGTGTCAATCAATGGACATTTTACCGCGTCAATCCTCCATTCACATTAAGAAAGGGGAAGATGCGAAGGTACGCTTAAATAAAAAATCTTTTCTACAGTACCCATCTAGGTCGCTAACAAAGGCACGACTAACAGTGGCACCTACTTGCAAATGGTTGGCGCGATGACCAACTGAAGGAGATACCGGACTGGATTGATGAATTGATCAAATTGAATATGGATGGGCCAATCTCAGACATATTTCGGGGTCGTGAAGACCCCTTACCATCATTCGGCTTACTCTCCCGGATAAGCGGGTTTCTGGGGTTGTTTCTCTAGGGACGGCCTATAGGTAGATAGGTGGGGGGAATAGTAGGTTTAAGTATTAATGGGTCTATCTTAACCGCTCGGGTTATGTGGGACTCGAAGCATGAGAGGAGCTTGCGACTCTCATGCGAGGATGCTAGGTTTCCATCTGAGCTGGCTAGACTCTTAGCAGCCTTGTGGTGTATGTGTCAGCGGTTCCTGACATACTGTTCGAGGTCATTTAGTTGTTTCAGAGTCTACCCTATTTCTTCCCGACTATATCAGTCCTACAATAATTAAGTTAACGTTAAAGTACGGCACCAGGATAGCACGTAAGAGATTACGAAGATCCCACTGGTATCGCTAGAGTTCGATGGATATCGATTCAACATAAAAGACTGCGCGGTCTTTCTCGAAGTAGTGTATTACCTAAGAATCTTCACTTCGATCGCTTCGTAATGAGGCGCCTCGCCCGCTGGGTGTTTAAAACACCTAGCTAAAGTTGGCAACTGCTATCATCGCTCGCTGACTCCAATGGCTTTACTCTCGCGCAAGTATTTATTAGAGCTGGATCACATCCGCTTCGCTAAAGTCAGGCGGAGCGCCATTGTAAATACAACGACCTTTGGAATCGAGGCCTTGTCCGACATTAGTGACCCAGAGGTGAGTGCTGAAGCGCTCCATCCGGTGCACTTCATCGTCACTAACACCGAGAGTATCCCGAGGGATCCAGATGACAGGTCTTCTGGCGCGGAGCGCACTATGTTGGAAAGCCCTCTGCACGAGCTTATCGCGTTCTTCGGGTGTCAAATCCTCCAGTTCGTCATTGACTCCTCCAAAGAGGGCGTCAGCAAGTTGGTTCTGAGCTGCGAGTCGTGCTTCAACGTCCTTTTCAGTGCCCGTCATCGGATTGAAACAGTTGAGCTTGTGAAAGACATCCTTAGCTGGTTGCAAATGGTGCTTCCGACGATTCAACCCCGCCCCGGATCGCGGTGGGCTTCTATTCTGCGAGGGATGCTCCCATTCACCAAAGGGCGATGCTCGTCCGTTCCTCGTCTTGTCCCTGTCCGGCGAAGGCTGGCGGTGGCGTCTTTGTGAAATATTACGTGGCGCTGGGCCTTGGGTCTCCTCGGCTGTCGTCAGGGTTGCTGCTTTCATCATTCGAACGACTCTACTGGCCGGATCCAGATTTAGGGCATTCTCTGGATTCTGAATCGCGTACGGCCCAAGGTCGGGCAACTGCCGGGAGATCTGCCTCCTGGCCTTTTCGGCATCTTGAAGTTCGATTCTATGCCGTTGGCGATCTTCCCCCGTCGACTGGCGCTCGTTGCGCTCCAGCCGGCCGTCAGGATCCTCGTTTTCAGCCTCGTCCCCAACCAGTCCATGTTTCGTCTGCATTGCTCGGGCAAACTCCTCACCCCGTCGGGCCGCGTCATCTTCTAGAGTGATAGGAAGATATCTCAACAACGGACTGAAAGCACTGTTCAGTAGCAACTGATAAACGGCGGTTAGGATGAGAATTAGTATCATACCCACTGCTTGGCCCGTGCAGGCGACGTTTCCGTGCTGGTCTCTGACCAAGAAGAACATGCCGATCAGCGCAATCTCCATCACATAGACACCCACGAAGGTGAAGTTGATGGCGTTGGGGTACAACAGGCCGCCCGTGTCGCGGGTATAGCGATTGACGTAAAGGGTATTGTACCGATAGACAAACCAAAACAGTGAGAAGGTGACGACGTTGAAAAGGAGGATGAGAGGCGCGACAACGGAGTATATCAAACCGATACAAGCCAGATTCGTGTACACCGGGAAGAATGTTCCCCATTGAATATTCTGCAATCGGATCCGCCGATTGAATTTGGCCCGGGCTGTGTTGTCGAAGAGGGGAGCAAGGATAAACCATCCAATGAGTGACCCCACTTGTAGCAGCGCTCCAGCACTCACGGACAATGCTTGGAGGAGCATGTATGAGAAGAAATAGTTACTAGCCTTGGGAATGTTGGTGCCGAGGAGGCTTGGAACGTTAGTCCAGCCGTCAACGCTAGTTAAAAGCGCGAAGAATTCGGTTAAAGCTGACGCAATGGAGACGACCAAGAACAGCTGGACGAAGAGGAAGCAAAAGTAGTAGCGCTGAACCGAGAGCTCCACCAGCGTCCCAGAGGGTGTGCCCTGAGATCGTACCAAGAACCGGAGGATCAGAGGAAGCAGAAACAGGAGCAGGCCGAGTACGGCCGCGGGCAACACACCCTGGAGGACATTCCGGACCCAAGCTGGAATTCTGAGAACCCAATGTAACCATGCGAACGCCTTGGCAGCCGTGTCCAGCTGCGAAAGAGCCGACGTAAAAGCGATAGGGATCGCCCAGAGCAGGACCATACCAACCACAGCGACAACGACCCCGCCGGTTCTGACGTATACTGACCACCATGGAACCGACATGTTGTCCCAAATGACATCATTGGGGTCGATCTCGACCAAGCGCGGAGCCATCTGCTGCGGGAGATGGTGACTGACGGCTTGACAGGCCATGTGTGCTGCAACCTGATGATTGAATTGGACGAAGGCGGAGTTCATCAATGGAAATCGTTCGGGATGAGCTTGATCATTCTCGATCTCGCCATTGAGCCTGGCAACCTCCCTCCGACAGTATCGAATCGTGTCGACGTTTTCACCTATCAGCGGCAGAGGGGGCATCCATTGCCAGCCGAAAATCGGCAGTTTCATGGTTTCGCGATCTTGTTCACCCAAATAACGTCGCCAGACTGCATCTTCGGGGTCGTGTTCAAAGTCCTGGTCAAACGCAGACGGGTACTCGACCGGCGGTTTCTCGTCAGACTCAAGACCAGTGGCCTGTTTGAACTTTTCCAGTGTGGTTAATTGCTTTTCCGCTCGAGCCTTGGCACTCCGTCCTGCGCTGATTTGCCGACCTGGGCTTCGTGACGGGTGTGCATCCCGAGGCGGCGTCTCCGTTGATCTTCCCCCGCCACCACGTAAGCTCGCATCTTCTGCAGAGGCATGTTTGACACCTGTTGTGCGTGGCTTTCCCCACGGCTTGCCGTTATTTGGCGTCGATACGTTGGTTTCTTCGTCTTCGTCTTCGTCTTCACCGTCGCCGTGAGAACGCCGGCCCGTGTTCTTTCGTTCAGCATTGGTCGCCACAAAGCCATTGGTGGTGTCAATGGCGTCGTTGACTCCTTTTGTGACCCTACGTATAACGTCCAGTAATCCTCTGCTGACTTTGTTCAAATGCCGGGCGGCCACATAGACACCTCTACCAATTATGGGGATTTTGTATCGGTTCCATCGACACTCGGCGATCGCGTCTTTCTCGTTATTGTCCGGCTCCGGGTGTGAGCCAGGCTGATGTCTATGCGCGAAATCGTGACGGTTATGCTGAGCCTGCTGAAGATCTCCAGTTGTAGTGCCATAGCCGTGAGCTTCGTGATCACCGGCCTCGTACCTGATCGTCGCTCGCGGCTTCTTTTCTTTTTCAGTGAGTTTCTGACTCGCCTCCTTCTCTGCTTTGATAATATTCTGCTCGTGCTTTTTGAAACACTTCTTGATGAGCTTGGTCTCGGCCGCCTCTAGAGCCTGAGCGAGCTTATCGCGCCGCTTGATCTTGTCACTGAGCTCGTCAAACTTTCTGTTGATCCAGATATTTCTGGGCCCGCCGGGGAAAACATCGTAGAGGCCATCGAGGGCCTCGACGTTGCACCACTTGTCAGGGATCGAGCTCACCAGAACGGTGGTAGCAGAGGCGCGTAGACGATGTTGGGGAGATGTCAGGTAAGCCTGCCGCACCCGGATGTAGTTCCGTAGTTCGTCGAAGGCCACATAGCATACCCAGACGACCAGACCTAGAGCCAAGAGCCAATGAACCCAATACCGGCCGGTGTGATCGGGAGCGACGTTGCCCCACGCAAGCTGATCCAGGCCCGTCACGTTACTCGCGTTTTCGTTTTTGCCGAGTGCGAATTGTGCCCCGCGACCGTCGACGAGATTGAGAGGAATGAGGATCGGCAGGATAACCAGGGCGGCAGGGACAAAGATCGTGAGCAGGGTGCGCAAATATCTTAAGAAAAAATAGGCGTCTAGGCCACACTTTTGGACGAGTTCAGAGTTGGAGGTAGTAGCCACAGGTTTTACCCACTTCCACCATCCTGGAGGTGATGGGTTGGTCCTTTCTCTTTCCGGGACAAGGTACGTCCGGGGCTGGTATATCCTGGAGAAGCGATCCTTGATGGTGAGGAACAATCCGAACTGGATCTCGAAGACTACGATAGCAGTGACCAGAGAGGCGGCGAATTGACCAGCACTTTGACCATTCTTCTGTTCTGCGGCGGTGCTCTTCCCACCGAGATCGAGCGTGTCGTTCAACGACATTTTGTATTACGGTATCCTTGGATCTCTTGCAGAAATTTTCGTCTCTTCTCCGCAGAGACGAGTTAGACTATAGCTGCCGGTGTTTTAGATGATTAAGAGTATGTATGACCGGTGCTCTTATGACGACCTACGTACTCGTTTTGAGAGGAGGATCAGGAACCGTAGTGCACATCGGTGACTGGCAAAATCAAGCTGGGCATAGCTCCCGCGAAAGAGACTAACTTTTCAGCCGTCTCAAAATAGGTATAAGGACAAAGCGAGAGCGAGAGGAAATTGATTAGACTCGTTGTAAGAAATGGGACAATGGAGAGGAGTTCAACACGACGAAAACAAGTGAAAAGAGTGGACGGGCAGAAATTTGTCTTTCAGCTCCGCGAGTAGTGAGAACCGGTACTTTACCAGTATTTCTCCAGAACCATCCCTAAGTTATAGCAAAGTGCATCCCGGTCTCTCTATGGGGCCCTGCGTCGCCGATGGATATATAAGACGTACAATATTCTGCGCTTTCTCTTGTCGCCCTGACCATCCACGATTCCGAACCTAACCTAAAGAGACTTCCGTTACCCTTCATCAAGACCTATATCTTGATATGTTAATGGAGTAAGTGGAAATTCTTCTTTCTAAAGCAGATTCGATGTACCCGACATACTATTACCAACCACTCAGATTTCTCACTTCGTTCAAAACTTGTTACGTGGAAGGGAAAAACATGCACGGGCAAATGGTGCGATCCTCCATGAAAATAACCTACGTCTGTAGTGGCAACCTGGATCCACTATCCCCTTCATCTATGATAATCTAGGATTATGCTGTAGCATAGGGTGACTGTAAAAGATCATTCTGAACTTAGGGCATGGGAGGAGGAGGAAGAAAAGCACCAACGTCAGGCAGTAAAGTTACTTGAAGCGTTTG